TTTCTTGAGATTAGTAATTATCACTGGTCAAAAATTAATAAAACATATACATATTGGGTACCCGATATGTGCATGTTTTATCAATTTTTGACCAGTGTATAGTCTTGCGACAGGATGGCAATTTTGTATAAATAGAGATAGTTTTTGTCCTTAGAGTTAGAACAGTTAGAACTTGAATACATTCTGAACTTGATATATGTAATAAATTATTAATAAAGTCTTTGTGACAAATTATAATTTGAAACCTTTGATTTCTCAGTAAAATACTTTAATAATAATACACTACTTTGTGATTTTGATATTATTCTGTTTATAATTAACCTTGCTTCGTAATCTTGGTTAATTATCTTAGTTTCTGTGTGAAACTTATAATATTCTATGTGACTATTAGTCAATTTAGTGTCGTATTATTTAAATCCCATACCCCTTTAAATTCTCACACCTTAGCCTCTTTCAAACAAATTCACAACCTCAAATCCTTTACTTTTTATACCTCATCAAGTATAAAACCTTCCAACTGTAACATATTCGTCCAATTGCTTTGTGATCTTTTGAACAATAGTTTCCTTATTATTAGTTGATAGTTAATCATGTTTAGTAAAGGTAATTATAGTCAACAACATGTAATGAAATAAGCTCACAGCTTATTCAACATGTAATAAAATAAGTTTACAGCTTATTCAACATGTAATGGAATAAGTTTACAGCTTATTCAACATATAATAAAATAAGTTCACAGCTTATTTAATGTGTAATGAGATAAGTTTATAGTTTATTTAACATGTAATGAAATAAACTCACAGCTTATTCAATATGTGATAAAACAAGCTCACAACTTATTTAACTTGTGATGAAATAAGTTTTCAGCTTATTCAACATGTAATGAAATAAGTTCACAGCATATTCAAGATATGCTCATTTTATTATTTATAAAAACTTTTGTATATAAAATAATATTTCTATGAATTTACTTATAATTTACAAAACTTAGAGCACTTTTTTACTAAGGTATTTCTATAATAAATAGAAAGATCTCATTCTTAGTTACAAAAATAATATATGTTTTATCTTTATAGAATCAATATTCATCAAGTTATTACAGTTTAAAGTCAAAGTATTACAAAAATTTTGAAAATTTTTTTATTATTACTACATAATAAACTTTTTTATTTAATAATTTAATACTAAAACTAATATTAAATAAAAATAAAGATATAGATAAAATATATCTTTTGTAAAAGTTTCAAATGTTTTATACCAAAGTTAAGTATTAAATAAATGATATAATTTTAAAAGAAAAAATATATATTTAATTACTAATTTTAATATAATAAGTTTGAAAATTTTTCAAAAGATATATTTCATTTAGTATCTTTATATTTACTTAGTAGCAGTTTAAATTTTATATTATTAAATAAAAATGTTTATTATGTAACAACTAATATAGTAATAATAGAAAAAATTTTAAAAAAATACTTTAAATAATTATATAAATGTTTTAAAGATTAAAAAAAATTTATTATTACTATATTAGTTGCTACATAAACTTTTTTATTAATAGTATAACATTGAAATAGCTACTAAGTAAGTATAAGATATTAATAAAATACATTTTTTGGTAAATTTTCAAACTTATTATATTAAAATTAGTAATTAAATATATATTTTTCTTTTTAAAATTATGTCATTTATTTAATGCTTAATTTTAGTATAAAGCATTTGAAACTTTTACAAAAAATATATTTTATCTATATCTTTATTTTATTTAATAGTAGTTTTAGTATTAAATTATTAAATAAATAAGTTTATTATGTAGTAATAATAAAAAGATTTGAATATTTTCATAATACTTTGACTTTGTAGCATCAATATTCATCAAGTTATTATAGTTTAAAGATAAAATGTATATCATTTTATAACAAAGACAAAGTCTTTCTATTTATCATAGAAATACCTTAATAAAAAAGTGTTCTAAGTTTTGTAAATCATATAGAAATATAATTTTATATACAAAAGTTTTTATAAATAATGAAATGAGCATATCTTAGATATGTTGTGAGCTTATCTCATTATATGTTGAATAAGCTGTAAGCTTATCTCATCACATGTTGAATAAGCTATGAGCTTATCTAATTACATGTTGAATAAGTCATGAACTTATTTGAATAAGCTGTGAGCTCATCTTATTACATGTTGAATAAGTTGTAGGCTTATCTTATCACATGTTGAATAAGTTGTGAGCTTCTCTCATACATGTTGAATATGCTGTGAGCTTATCCATAATTATATGTGGATAAGTTTATCCAGAGGCTATTTATATATATGTCTATATTGCAGGATAAAGTCTATTTGTTTTATCTGATACAGACAGGTTGTACCTGCTAAGCAATGTGAATGTAGTATTAAAAGAATATATATGTATCTAAAAATAACCATACTCAATCTTTTGATATTTTTTTCAGGTGTATTTAAACATTTTGAAAAAAAATAAATGAGCAATATTTTTTTTTTATAAAAAATATTTTTTTTGATTATTTTTCTATTTAATTTAAAAATAAAGTATGAAAAAATAATATTGCATTCAATTAAATATGAAAAAATTAATACTTTTTTAAATTAATAATTAACTAATCAATATCATTTATTTCAACATTGTTATCATAATGTGCTATGTATATGACTGTAATGAATGAAATACAAGTGAATTTATCATAAAAGAAATAATAACAATTTCATGACCCTTCTGAAATTATCTATTTCTAAACCAAGAAGTTGTTAAAACCAATATTGAAAACTTTGAAATTGATCAAATAATATTACTAAATGGTAAATTTATTGCTCATGAAAGCTGGTATTCAGTAAGCTTCTCTTTTATCTTACCTTTTATTATGTCCTATCCTTCTCTCTTTTGTTACTCTCTTTTTTATCTTCTTTCTTTTATTCTTCTTCTCATTTATTTTCTCTTTTATTCTTTTTCTTTTTCTCATACACTTCTTCACTCTTTCAATTAAGTTAAATAATACAATTAACTCTTAATTTTTATTTTATTTTAAAGGTTACTGCTACCTAAATCAAAATATCGAATGAAATAAATTTTGATACCATACCTGTAACCGGAATTAATACAGTGCTGACTGGAATCACAATACAGACAATAAGAAGTGAAATGATTAATCTGTTTTAGAATTTGATATAGATGAATACTTAGGTGAATTGGAATCAAAGAATTTCTGGATAGAAGTAAAGCATAACTAATACTGAAACCTCACAAACAAGATCAGCTCAATCAATCAAAACTCAAGGTCAACTACAGCTATCTTAGTTGGAACAATAAATTATATACCTTCCATAAATGATTTTGTAACAAATGCAGAAATATCTTCTTTTAAATTTGTTTTAGACTTAAAAGATATTTCTTTATTAATAGCCAACTCATGAATGTTCCCTAGTTAAATGCAAAAAGACAAAATAGAGAACAAGAGGGGCATTACCCAGAGTTACACAAGTCAAACATAAAAGAATAAGTGGCACAAATAGGAATTCTGATTTTAGCTGATTTATAATATATGATAAAATAGGACAGTTGATTTTAGCTGGTTTATAATATGGGAATTATAATTTTAGCTAATCAATAATATAGGAATTACCATTTGACACAGTGATTCTTTTGTATTTGACTATTTTACAAGGAGAAGATTAACAAATACATCTCCAAATCAACTCCAACTCTTGCAACAGTTTCAAATACTAATTCTTCTCCAAACTCAACCTTTACAACACCTTTAAATTCCAATCCCTTCCAAATATGAATAATTTGTAAAATGATTGGAAATTAAATTCAATAATTCACCTGATATTTCATTAATATTTTAACAGTCTATCTGTAAAAGCTCTTGTTTATTTCTTCTTTTGAATGAATAGTTTTACTGTCAATGTTTTGAGTCACTACTCCAGTGAGACTAACAAAATATAATTGGATTGCCTTTGATCAAGCATGTATCTTATTATATTTATAATTTACTAGTTCTGTTAAACAAGTTATAAAATCTCATGTTATTATTTTTCCCATATGGATAATACACATACACAATATGAGGTAATTCCAACATTGCTGTTTCAGGATGAATACGTGGATTAATTTTTAAATTATCCAATTATTTTGTAATATTTGTGTGAGATATTGTCAGAAGTTTGTTATTCAAAGATTGTAATAACTGATCAAGCATTTCAACAATTGATTATTGGTGTGTATTTACAATTGGGTTTTGTAATTATGTAGAATAATTGGGAAAAGTGATAGGAATTTTCATTTTGATTCATTTTTATAATCAAGTTCATTTCTTGCTGGTATTTTCAGCAATTGTTTATAAAATATATAATTCACCATCTTCAATTTTAAGAATTCAAATCTGATTACTATATCTTTTAATCTCTTGATGTAATTATTTAAATAATCTTGATGAATTTGTCTATTAGTTAATTACAGAGTTGATGGTATATTTTTTAAAATATTGTAGATATGTTAAACTTCCAAATTAAGGTAAATGAAATTCATTAGTAATATCATAATACGGATTCTCGTCATTTTTCATTGATCATATAAACTGTTAATATTGAGTTCAGTTTTAAAATTTCACTGTAGTTGAAAAGTTACAAATTGTATGTCCTAAAAGTAAAACATATTAGTTCCTTATATCCCAATCATTAAGCTATTACATGTTCTTGTGAACTATTAAATATTAAAAATATGGGAAGGTGCAATATATTTTACCATATGGTATATCTTTCAAATCCTTTGTATGTTATATATTCAAAATTCATGTATGCATTTCAGAGTTAGACATTTATATACATAATGATAATTTGCTTGTGTCATTTGTAACCATTGATTCAACAGTACTTGTAGTCCAATAACAACTAGGCATGTAAGCGGCTCCATGATTTTGAAATTTCTCTTGGTTAAAAAAATTTGCAATTTTACAAATCAGATTTTGTATAGATTTCTTTTTAATGATCGAAATCTATGAACAAAGTAATCAGTAAAATGAAAAGGTTAATTGTAAGTAAAGTATTTTTATTATTATTGTAAATGGTTCCAACAATTTCAGCCATACTCAATGAAAAATGATAGATAATCCTAAATGAAGTTGGAAAGTGGGATTGATTTATTTTTTTCATTATTTATATTATTTGATTTCTTGTATACACACTTGGTTGTAATAGATCTCTAGCTACTGGAACATTTAAAGAGATATTTAGATTTGTAATTGATTGTTATAATATGTGTTTGGTATTTTGATGATGATTAAGTTTTTCTAATAATTCATTAATCATAATTTAAATTTACCATATGTTTCATGTTGAATTTCTTAAATCCCATGTTGAGATTGGAATTTATAGTATTTCGCTTTGCTGAATAAAGCCAGTTATTAGTCAAGTATAATGAAAGTCTTCATTCCAAACTTCATCAGAAAATTCATAATTTGGAATTATAAGGTCATGTGGATTTACCGTTAGTATAATTATCAATATGGCTAGCTCTTGAAAAAAGAATCATTTGATTTTGATGCGATATATGTAATAATGAAGTGTTAGTATATAGTCGAAATAAGAATTATTTTGAATTAATAATTCTGCAACTCTTTGTAAAGTTTCACCTAGATTTGTATTATTATTTGTTATTTACCCGTATTAGATACTAAGAATGATCCTACTACTCCAGAATATAAGGTATGTCAAAATATTGTGGGAATAATTTATTGTTCCAGTTAAACTTCAATATTTTGAATAAGAATTACTATCCAGAGTTCTTCTAAAGAACAATGTAAAAATATAGGAGATAAATTTTATTTAAATTATAGATTATTTTTGCAAAACGTGACTTTTTCGTAATTTAATTTAAAATATACATATATTATCAATACAAAATATTAATTAAATTAATTATAAATTGTGAAATATGTATAATTATAATGAACAATTATCTTGTTTGCAAAGAAATTAATTAATTTAAATTATTTATAAAATTATTTCATTTTTTTAAAAAAAATATTTTGAAAAAAAATTAAACATTTTCTTTTTCTGGTCTGATTGAGGGTTTGAATTATTCACGTTTGGGCGTTTAAGGCTTGGATAGTATATTCTTGGTTTTAAACTGAATTGCAATTGATTACGTGATTGATTACTATTCTGATATGTCATAATGGGCTTTGGTACTATGATAACACAAAAAACTTGTTAATCAAATTATTTATTCTTGAAATGTGGTATGTGTCCAATCTAGACTTTCAACATTGAAGAGAACAACTATATCTATTAAATATGATAAAAAAAAGAAAATTTATGTAACTTTTACAAAAATTTTTATTGTTTGAAGTACTCTTAAGCACATATTAAGTACCCATACATACCATTTCTCAAATATGTTCCAAGAGTTAAAGGTATTTAATTAGATTTTAAAGTGGAAGATTTTAAAATTTTCAACTATTTAGCTAATAATAAAATAAAATAAATAAATATTTATCAAATTTTAAATGTTTATTTCTTTAAAAAATTAGGTCACATTGAATAAGTTGGGTATATACGGAAATAAAATTGGTTTAATTCATTTTATTAATCAAATAAAAACGAATAAGATAATATCTATTCACATTATTTTGCTTAATTTAAACAAATATTTTATGAATGGGAAGCATTACTTGCATAATTGTTCACATTTTTAATGAAAATTAAATATCGATTAATTTAAACTTTAATTAATTGAATAAATAATTTAATAATTTTATTAAACTTTATAATGAATAAATTAATACATGTGCTTATTTTATTTGAAATATAAAATGCATTATTATACAATAGCTAAATTCTTTCTTTCTCTCAGTATTTCTTTTTCAGAAGATTTGAAATAATTATTAATTACTTTATAATAATTAATTTAATAATGCTAATTTATGACTTTATTTTTTGATCGAATATATTTTAGTTTAATAATTTTATATATTATATTGTTATAAACATTTATTTCTCTTCAAAACATTATCATATTAATACAACCATTGCTTTATTATATCATCTATATCTTTTACATCATCTTTTTTAATTAACTTCTTTCTAACTCTCTAAAAACCACATCAGGTTTTCATTTCCAAAGAAGCAATTTCAAATGCACCATAATCTTTATTTTCCATCCAAAAGTATTCATATCACTTTTTTAATTTAACATCAAATGTTATACTTAATTTAAAAAAATACTCACGAAATTATTCTATTATTCCAATACCAATTATGATTATATTTTTTCATGGAGAAATGTTTTCACATTAAAATATTTTTTTCATCACCATCATCGTATGTTGGACATTCTGCACTTATTTCTCTTACTGCATCTCTGGAATCTCAACCCCCTTTTTATATTATTTTATTATATTTATTATATTTTTTATTTTTGTTATTATTATTATTGTATTTATTATTTATTATTTGATCGAGATTTTTGTATGTAATTATAACTATGAAAAATTTCCAATAATCAGGAATGTGAAATATTGCACTTAATAATTTTAATACCTACAGTACATGGTTAATTAACGAAAAAAATAATTTATCACAATAAGTCCACTAATTTATAAATTATTCATTGATATAAATGTGTAACCAATATTTTAAATATAAAGATTCACAATTCAGAACATGCTAATCGATTTGAAGAATAGGACTATTACTTCTATTATTTCTATTCCTCTTTTTATAAAAAATAAAAATTGTAATACATATCAAAACCACTAAGCCTGCTCCTATTCCAAGCCCAATCTGTAAATATTTGGAATTCCGAGGGACAGGAAGAGAAGCGGGAGGGTTAAAACGTGTAGCCCACGTATTACTTGTTATATCATAAAGGTATACTTGAGAATTATATATTTGATCATCTATGTTGTATCCTAAAAATATTCATAAATGACATGCGTTACTTATAATAGAAAAATGATCATTGTAAATATTGAAATCTATTTACTTACCAAATGTAATTATCATATAATTATAATATAAATTTGCTGTATGTCCATAAATAGATGGTGGAGAATAGACTTTGGAACCACTTGGAACCGACCATTCATACGTATTTTTACTTGTATTTATATTTAAAACTGCAAGCTTAGGGTTGACACTAGAAAGACTTAAAGTACGACCCCCAAATATAATAATGCGTCCATCTGGTGCTATATAAAAATTTTCACTTTAATATAAATTTTTAATGTTTCAGAAATAACAAATAATTTTTAAATTACCTACTTAACACAGAAGCAAAAAGCCATCTTGATTCAATATCATCACCACCAGTGGCATTCTTAGAATTAAATATAATTGATAAATTATTATATTCTATTTATTTTATATAAATTAATATCAAATAAATACCACTTGCGACCATTCATCTTTTCTTGTATTAAAGAGTCTAATCTATTTGACAATTATATATTAATATTTACGAATATAATTTGAAAAATTCTTCAGTTTATATTTAAAACACTTACATTTGTCATTTTTACAAGAGTGTTGTCATTGGCTTGTCCGCCAATATAAACAATAATTCCATTTGGTAAAATATTAGCAGAATAGTCACTGCTCAGTGGAGGAAGATTATTAGTTATGATTAAATTTTTCCAAAACATTGAAGAAGTATTCAATGTATTCATATCATTGTAACCGTTTCCAGCACGTGTTACAAAATTAGTGATATTAAATCCACCATATATATATATAGTTCCGTTGTTGTCAATTACTCCTGTCATTTGCTGCCTGATAGGAACACTATCCCCAGTAGTTGATGGTGTAGTCCATATAGAATTAAGATAATTATATGTATAAATTTGGTGTGAAAAATCATAATCGGATGTAGTTTTATTTTTTATGTATCCTCCAATCAGAAATATTGTAGAATTATCTAAACTAACGATAGCAGTTGAACTATACGTATATATAGGGAGATCTCCGTCGCGAATTAAATTCCATGGTAAGTTTGTATTATCTGTATTATCAAATGAATTTGATAAATCCAAATAGAATAGTTCAGGCGATTGAGTATAATTTTTCTGTCCTCCAAGAATTAAGAGTCGGTTATTTATTATTACGCTATTATGATATGCCCTTTCACTTGGGGCATAGCATAAAATTGAATTAATTAAAAAAATAATGTAAAAAATAAATTTAAATAAATATAAGAAATACATCTTTTTTGATACTTGAAATAATATAATTTTCTTAAAATGATTTTTTTTTGCCTGCCTTTTCTGAATCACCGCACCTTTTATGAAAACTTTGTTTACTGTGACAAATTTGTACTATCAAAATAGTGGATACAATATGTGCAGTGCGTTACATTACTATTTTAATTTTGGTAGATTTGAATGCATCGGAAATTTTTAGGCAACAAAATTAGAATTGGTCGAATAACATCATCTTGTTCTTTATTTTCCAAAGAATTTAGTATTTCAAATAATTATCTTCATTAAAAAGTACAAAATTAGTTTTCTTATTATCATCTATTTCAAAATTTAGAATGTGAGTCATTATTTTTATAAAAATTGGATTTTCCATGTGTAACTTACAAGTTAAAAAAAAATTTCGAAATGGAGTACATTTTCTTACATATGATTAAAATTTTTGCGATCAATGTGAATTTTATTAGTAAACAGTGTTTGCCTTTTTTTTTTTTTGACAAACCCATATCGATCATGGTTTGGCTGTTATCAATACATGGCCGATGGTTAAAAAAATTTATTATTATCATTGGACGAAAAAAGTGGCGTCAAGACCGTAACATGAATTATTCGTGAAATGAATACTGGCCTCAATTTTCCATTACTTCTTTTTTTTTGACCCTTTTCTCTTGCTAAGGTTTCTATCAGAAATTATTTGATTATCTAATTTGAAAAAAAAAAATATTTATTTTTTTTTTTAGTATCAAAATAGCATTATAGCTTTGAATAAAAAAAATAATAAAAATGAAGTTCACCGCAAAGACATTCATCTTTCTTACTACCCTCTGTCTTATTGTTATTTCCGTTGCGGCCCAGTAAGTCTTTTTCTAATATAATTTAATAATTTAAGAAATAAAATTTAACGATTGAATAAATTTTATAGATCTGGTGGTCCACCTACCGGACCTACTGGTTCATCACCTTCTGATGGTCCTCCACCTACCGATGAATCTACTGGTTCATCACCTTCTGGTGGTCCTCCACCTACCGATGAACCTACTGGTTCATCACCTTCTGGTGGTCCTCCACCTACCGGTGAACCTACTGGTCCATCACCTTCTGGTGGTCCTCCACCTACTACAGCTAATACTGCTGCCTCAACCGCATCAGGATCTGGGTAAGCTTATTTTATTTATTATTTGTTAAAAAAATATAAATATTATTAATTAATTTATTTGAATTATTTGAATTTATTATTTTTAGAAGACCATCAGGATCAGGAGGAACTTCATCAACATCCGGTCTATTAGGTGTGCCCACACCAGGTTCTTCTATAAGTGGTAAAAGTTCTTCAGGAGGACCCGGACCATCACCATCAACTTCAACACCATCAAAATCCTCAGGAGGGATTTCAACGCTTTCTCATATGAGTGGTTCCGAAGTTTTATCTGGCTCATTGATCGCTTTCATGGTTGCTGCTGCTTTACTTTATTAGATTTTTTTTTTGGAAAAAAGTTATATAATTCTCTTCTTAAATCCTGCAATTATTTTATTACTTTAAAGGTCTTTTTCTCACAAAAATACTATTACTATTCCAATTGTTCCAAATGACCTCACTTTAGCATCAAATTAAAATTTATTTTCTGTATATCTGATTTTCTAAAAGAGAGATTCCTCACAATCAATTTATCAATAAGTTACAATTATAAAAGCAATTAATACTAGTGTTGCCTGCCGCAATAGGTTTTATAAAGTTGAAAGGTTGATAATTTTTGCCGTAATTACAAAAAAGATTGTAATTTTCAACTTGCCATAATGTTTGTAAATTGTAATGTTCATAATAGTTAATTTTTGTAATGTTGTAAAGGTTGCAAAGGTTATTCTGAATAAATTTTACGTCTTTGTTTGAGTTAGAATTACTAGGCCAGAATTATGTAGTGCAGGGGGCCAAGATCGAGTGTCACGTGATACGAAGATCTTTAGTGATTTTTTGTCAACAATTTCGCTAGAATCATAAATAGGTTTGCATAATAAAGTGATTTATAGCCCTAAAATGTACTTTACGTACAGTCATTACATACTGAAACGCCTGTTTAATTTTTCATCAAATTGCTGTCAGATAGCATGACGGAAGTTCCCTTTAATTGGAGTGATCTACATCGAACATGATTGGCTAAAATCAGGGCACGTATTACAACCCTAATTTCAACCATTAACCATTATTGTAATATGATATATGTAATTCGGTTGTAATACATAAATTATTTTTAATAATAAAAAATTTTTTTAACTTTTAATTTAACATGTGTAATTATAACAATTGTAACTTTTTATCTTTAATACATTTTTGTATTACAGATATTGTTAATTTTGAATCTCCAATTTCTGTTCTAATGGCCAAATATGTCAGAGTATTTATATGGGCACGAATTTTAGCAGTGGATAGATCTTGTCAACAAGATTTATTAAAGGATAGTGGTTATGTTTATTTCGTTAATATTATTGCACCAAATAGTATACTTAATATTCCAAGGAAGAATATTTTGTACCCAAAAATTAGGGTGTTGATCCGTGATCTGAATTATTGGCTAGTAGTTATTTAAGTTTAAATAATTACAATATGTATCTGATTTTAAATAAATAAATAAATAATAAACATTTAATCATTCTTTTTTTTAAAAAAAAATTTTATTTCATAGTTCATCTTTATGGAATCATATAGCGAATGCAATAGTGACCAAGAGAATATTCTAATAACTTTGTATTAAAGTAGAATCAACTTACCCTTTAAATAACAAACTTTTGTATAAAGAATGTGTAAATGAAATTACCAAGTGTAGTTTTAATTACGTTATTGTTAAAGAAGGTTTTTATCTGGATGATTCTAAATTTCCAAGTGAAAAGAAAAAAAAATAATTCAAAATCAAGAAAAACAAAGAACATTCCCTAAAATGATTACATGAGTAGCGGATAAAATTAATAAATTAAATGGACCCTTTTATATAATTGTTTGTGTAGTTGATATGTCGATTTCTATTTAGAAAAGGAAAGACCAAGTGCTATAAATCAAATAATCGGTCATGAATATAAATCACATTCAAATTAGTTCTTTAATTTATTATTATATTATTATCAATTATTAATATTATATTGATGATTTTAGTAGAGAAGAAAGTGAAGACATTGAAATTAATTCAATTTAAAATTTCTGAAATAATTTATAGGAAACAAAAACACAAATGTACTCAACTTTATATGGATACAAAGAACCCAAGTTTCGTAATGTTGGAAGATATTATTAGAATTATTCTCAAAGATTTGGATGTCCGTGAAATGCATTTTACACTTCTATTCAACCGAGAATGGTGTTGAATTGGCATTCCATTTTACTGGAAAACGCCATCTAGTTTTATCAGTAAAAGGAACAATATCGTGCTAAAGATTTATCAAATGTTTATTTAATAGGGAAGTAGTAGTACGTCCACACAGAGTGAAGCTCAAAAGGTTTCACTCTTATTCGATTATTCATTATTTATCAAAGTACGATCTTGTTAACGTTGATCGATAGATTTGAATTTGAACCAATACTTCAAATGTTAACAGATCGGGGCTCGTCTGGAAACTTTTATTATTGATAATATCCATGCTAATAACGATAATGCTGCCTGCTTATGGATTATGGACAAATTCATACTATGCCTCAATACTCAGTATGAATAAAAATTATATAAAGTCATTAGCAGAAAATTGCATAAATGGTGAACTTTTTCAAAAAAAAAAATTTTTTTTTTCTGATATTTGATATTATCTTTAAATACTCATTATATATTGAGGGTCATCATTCTCAGTAAATCTTTAATATTTTGAATTGCTCCTTCCAGTCCTTTCTCGATATCAAGCTTTACATTAACAATCAATTTACTGAAGAATCGATCAATTCTCTCGAGAAATTCATCTCTGCTCAGAAACGACCTTTGAATCTTCGAAACGGACCTGGACGCGCTTGTCAAAGCATCTTAGTCCGGGCTTGAATCTTTTCAAAGACTTGAACTAGTAAAATGGAAATTTTCAGGGTGTGATTAGAGTTGGTTAAATAATTGTCCAAATTTGATCGAGTTTGCAATTACAAACCCTCCACCTCAAGTCTTTAGAATTTTGAGTACACAGCAAGAATCCTATCAGTCTAAACCATCGATAAATAAGTCAAGGGGTTTAACTGAACACTGCACTGTCATTTTGGCAAAGATAACGATGAATCTCTTCAATACAAAAATTTAACTTTCACCCTAAAAAATCATTGAAGGTATAAAGTTTATCTGAGCATGACTCCGTTATTTATTATTAGATTTTATAATTCTTTCTTGTTATTTATTATTATTTATTCATTATTACTTAGTAGTTATTGTATTAATTTTAGAATTGATCTATATATGGTTAATTATTTCTATTTTATAATTAGTTAATTAGAGAATAGTATATTAACTATAGCATAATTAAGATAGGAAAGGCTAGTTGATGATCAAAAGGACCTCCAAGTGGTGTCTTGATCATCTTGAACCCCAGTTGAAGTCTTTAATTGAAGAGATCACAGGTGAGGTCTGTCTATCCTTAGACCTCAGAGTCGGCATTAGAACTCCAAGTGAGGTTCTTGAATCCCAGCATAACAATGTATATAAAGGCAAGAGAAATTACCTTGTCCAAGTGAGTTTTAAAGTTTATACAATTCCTATTTCTTTTATTTGTATATCCCAAACTCACCTTTTATTCTTTTATTTTGATTTATTGATTTTTGATTGTTTTTAGTTTGTAGTTATTTTTTATTTGATTATTGATTAGCTACAATTATTGATATCTATTGATTAATTATTTAGATAAATTAACATTATTCTTGTTTAATTGAATTCTTTTTATATTTTATCTTTAATATTTATAATTATTCACATAATTTAACCAAAACAAGTTCACTACCAAGCTAAACCACTATAAATTAGTAAAGCTTGCTCTCCCAGGTAGCAACAATGTTAACCAAACAAAACTGTCATCACAACATTCGTTTCACATAAATTTTATATTAGAACTCGAGTAGCTTGAAAGTAGATTATACATTGGTTCATATATTTAATTTAAGTGTGAAGACTTGAAAATTTAATCCTGAGACACTTTAATTTATAATTAAATTAGCATCTTCATATCCTAGAATATTACATTTTAACATTTAGACTTAGGGGTCATCAGGAAACTTTATAAACCGTAATATTACATAATATTATGGGACTACACAAATTTATATACAATAGATTTGGGTATATCTGATATTTACATATCATCATTTATACCAGCCAGATTGCTGCGAATAAAACAAAGCATTTTTGGAATTAAAAATAATAGGTTACACAAATCCCACAACCGTTGCTCATAAGTAAAGTTAATAAATTAAAGTTTCTTCCTTAGCATTAAACTAAACAAGAATAACAAAAAATATAATAAACAACTATATTGAGATTAGAAGGAAGAAATAAAATAAGTTGTTGAAGGTTGAGCAGTGGAACAATTGGTTAAGCAGTGGGACAATTGGTTAGACAGTTATTTATTTATTTGTTTAAAGGGATGAAAGTACCTTAACTTATTTAATAAAGTCTTATAAAATAATATGAGTATATGTAAAGTATTGTGCTGAATACTTTTACTTAGAGGTCAAAAGGTAGTTAATATAATAAAGTTCTGAGTTTTTTTAAAATCTTTATTATTTTTTATCTTTATAGATCTCTGTTGATCCAATCACAATGCGCCGATATGGAAAGTTACTAATCATTTTGAATAGATATGAAAAAATGACTTCAAATTTATCATATTTCAAAAATATCATATTGATGGTAAAAATCTATATGGGTTTTTCGGAATTTACTATTAAAATTATTTAAAGATATTTTAATGGATGATAAATCTCAGTATATTTTTAATTCAATTATTTTACAAAAATATATATTATTAAAAAGCAATGAAAATGTTACTAAATAACTTTAATTCCAAGAATGAGTTGTATTTACTATAAAGATTTTAAACCTATGTAAATATTAAGTATAATAATATAAAAATTATATAAAAAAAATAATGGCAAAAACAATAGTTTTAATATATAGTGAAATTTTGAAAATTATTATATTTTATTAAGTAAATTTAACATGGTCCTAAACTTTTGGGTTGTGAGTGTATTTATACTTATTTATATCAAATATTTATCGGAAAAAAAGGCGAGAAAATATTTTATTTAAATAAAAATGGACAGAAAGATTATATTGACATTGCTTATATTGTTATCGCTAAAACTATATTAACATTATTTCATTCGAATTTATTTATATTTAAATATAGTTTATTTATTTCGAAAAGAATAGAACAAAAAAAAAATAAATAAATTTAATAATTAATTTAGTAATGGGTCTAATTTTTCCATAGTTACAATTATAAGAATTCTAATAAGTTTACTTTAATAATAATCTACGCTTAAAATAAAAATACTTTAACTTTTACTGAAAAAAAAAAATTCTTTTAATTTTATCTCTTGATCTCTTATCAATATATTTTAACGGTTACAATATGATCAAAAATTCATTACGAATTTAATCCTGCGTAAAAATCATACTTAATGAAAATAATTTAAAATTTGGTTAAAATAAAGACTAGAGAAAATTTGATATTATTTAATATGCTCATCTGACACAATTTATTAAAAATAGGGACCGTATTAAATATTCATTAACTGTGCGCTTAGAATAATCACATATAATAATTTATTTTGGTATGATTTTTAAAGAAAAATGTATTTATTTTCAATAACAGTATATTATGAAAATCCCAAATTCGAAAATTCTGAAAATCATCATTTCTTTTAGTGAGCGACCTAAACTCACTGCAGGTAAATTTATAAGTATAAAAAAAATGTAATTTTATATGGGTATTCCATTTTTGGCGATTAATTTTAAAACAAAACAATAATAATCCATATTTCAGTTTTAATAATTACTTTATTTATCAATTTCTTGTTTTTTTCATTGATGTATTTATTATATTTTTTTTTTATTCATTTTTAATTCAATAGTAATCATTTAAATGCTTAACGAAAATATTTTACACTAACAGTAAATTATTTTTAATATACTGTAACCAGATATTTTTTGGATGCGGAATCTTTATTTAACTGTATTTGAACCATATCTTCGACAATAAAGATTATTGTGATAAACTTTATGTAATGTTTAAATATATATTGTATATACAGTATATGATGTAATGTTTAAATAATATTTTTATTTTCTTCTTAAAATGCAGAATTATCCATAATATAATAATTATATTTATTATTGCTATAGAAGCGCAGTTAATTCTTCAATTTTTAGTTTAGAACAACAGAAATTAAATTATGCATACTTTGCCTGACAAATATAAATCTATATTATGTAATTGCATATTATAACATTGGGGAAATTGAATTATTTATTAAAAAAAGGAAATTTTAATACTGTAAATTTTCATATATCACTTTGCTCAACGGACAATGGTGGTTATACTTTTTTAGAGATCACACCCCTATATAATAATATGTCTACAATTGGTATATAATTCTATGATCATTCTTTTAATCGACCGATGGAAAAAAAATAAATAAGATTTAGCCATAGTGTCAAGTCGTTGCATCAAGTCTAAAGTTATGAGATGCAGAAGTGTTATTATATAGTATGATTTTCTGGAATGATATCATAACGTATACTTTGCAAAAAATTTTTGAATTTGGATTTTATTATAATTTAAACATCATATACAATGTATAATGTATCTGCAATATCCAAATAAATACATTTTGTAACCAAAAAGAAACATTATTTTAATCTATCATACTAAAATAATATTTAATGTGGTCATAACGATGAATGTGCATATTAAATAGTACTAAATTTTCTTTCGTCATTATTTTAACCGAATTTTAAATTATTTTTCGTTACGTTATGATTTGAAGATTTTTACGTTATACCAAATTTTTTTTGCAGGGTTTTAATGAATTATTTTTTTAGAACACAATCTCTAATTAAAATGGAAAGTTAAAGACAATTCTATTCATAAGTGTCATTTTTGATCTGGATGATCTAAGCAGCTGGCATCAAAAAGATTTGGGCAATTAATATCAGGAGAATTTTGATTCATAGATAATTGACCCATATTCACAGATTGTTGTGAGTAAATAGTGTTGAGAGAATTTGAAGGTAAAGAATTAGAGAAGGAAGTGCCTTTATTTATATCTGTAAATGAATTGATGATTTGGTCGGGATTAGGAAAGTAGTTCCTGGAGATATTTTGGTCCATATGATAGAAGAATATGCCTTGATTTATATCTATAAATGGATAATAATCGATAATTTGGTCTGGATTAGGGAAAATAGTTCCTGGAAGGTTTTGTTTCATATGAGAATAGGTTTGCTGACTGGAAATGTTTGTAAGATTATGGTTGATGCCCGAAATGTTTTGGTTTATAATCGAAGAAGTTTTGTCTACAGGAAGATTATAGTAGGTATTGTATGAATAGTTCTGGTCCATAACATTTGTACAACAGATGATTTGGACCGAATTAGGGAAGGTAATTACTTGAGGATAGGTTTGCTGAATGTTTGAAGGATTATGGTTGATAGTGTCCGAAATGTTTTGGTCTATATTCGGACAATTTTTGTCCATAGGACGATTACAGTAGGTAGTGTCTGAATAGTTCTGGCCCATAATATTTGTACAACCGACCGAATTAGGGAAAGTAATTCCTTGAGGATAGGTTTGCTGAATGTTTGAAGAATTATGGTTGATAATATCCGGAAAATTTTCGTCCATAGGAGGATTATAGTAGGTAATTCCTTGAGGATAGGTTTGCTGAATGTTTATAGGATTATGATTGATAGTGTCCGAAATGTTTTGGTCTATATTCGGAGAATTTTTGTCCATAGGGGGATTACAGTAGGTAGTGTCTGAAGAGTTATGGAGGATAGTGTGAGGGTTGGTTTCATTACCATCTGTACCAGCCAGATTGCTGTGAATAAAACAATAAGGAATTTTCTTTTTAAATCCTTTTTTGACATTTTCCGCCATACGTTTATAATGGTCTTTGATTTTGTTTGATTCATTTTTCCACGATTCACTTGCCAATTTTGGTGAATTATTCCATGAACGGTTAGGATTTTTGCGCGCACGATCTTTTCTATAAATCATAAATGCGTTCATAGTTCGATTACCATTTTCAAGTCCATTATTTAAATGTATTTCTACAATTTCTTCACTTGTTGACATATTTAATTAGGTTACAATAAAAAAATTCTATAGAAGGTTCTTCTCGAAATTGATTTATAATTAATAAATATGTTTTTGATGCGAAGAAGAACCGCGAAATTAAATAATGATAAATCCAATTTAGTATCAATAAATTTAGGTAGACTTTCAAAAATTGGGTATTATGTGTAACAAAATCAAGAAAAAGAATGTGATATTAGAAAATTATTATTTGTAAATCGCGGTTTTGATATTTTGTTATGGCTCAAAATTTGAATGGCATACAGTTGTTTAAATACGTTTTTTGAAAGGAGTTAAGTGTATATTAAATTTTAGAAAAGCAAATTATATTTCTAAAAATATACCGAAGACCCGTATGTTGGATATTGACCTGATGATGCGGTAGTGAGAGAATACACAGCATGTTTTGCAAGAATATCTATTATATCTATTCGAATTTTGCGACTTACAAAATAATATATTAATAATATTAATGTGCTATAAATTTGGTTTTATTGGAAGTACCTAATAACTTTTGTAAGAGTCAATAATATAATTATAGGAATAAATTTAGCCGCAGGTGATACAAAAATTAATATAATCACGATGTTTAGGTTGTAAAAAAAAAACAGGATTAAAATTGCTTATTAAATTATTTTTTTTCAAATATATTTTTTTTTACTTTCATAATTCTAGAAAATATTCAATTGTTGTGTATTTATTTATTTTCTTCTTAAAATTACAATTATGCCCAATATTAATTAATAGTTCCATACTCCGTCCTAGTGCAGATGAAATTGTACAAGTTCGTTTAAAAAATGGAATCAAGAGCGAATACTTTGCTTTAAATAAGAGATAATAAAAAATCACCCTATAAAAAATGATTTAATTTTTATTTATTATTTATTTGTTAGTCATCAGTTATAACCATTTTTCGTTCATAATGATAGATATGGCCTTAAAAGGCAACATAATTAGGCAAATAAAGATCGACACCGATACGTATTTAGTAAAGTAAATCAGATCAGATAATGCAGGGTAAACAGATATTCTATATCATAATTGAATTCTTAATTTTAAATTTTGCCATTATATGTTGAATCTTATTATGAAGTACAAGCTTCGTAGTAAAAACCTGCAAAATTTTATCCACCAAAAAACGTTATTTCTGTTATTTTATTTTTGGAGTGGGCATCTGAATTTGAAGATTTTCACTTTGGTTTCCGTCTTTTAGCTGGAAGCTTACGTAGTGGACTTATTTCTCTTCTTATGAAAGCTAGATTTTAATTAAATTATGTTTGAAATAAGAAAAATCGATACATGCTCAAAATCTTTGTAAAATAAAAAAAAAAAATCTCGGAATATAATAGAACATTCTAAAACAAGAAATATAAATATATGGATACGAAACCCCAACATCACACAAAAATTATTAATATTTATTATGCCAAGGGTCTAAAAATAATACACATTCTAATTATAGGTTTGAAATGTTGATGTAAGACAGATCATCCTACTTTTTTTAATCAGTTTTTTTATTTGGGGAGTTTTTTTTTAAAAAAAAATTTAGTTTTTCGTCGAAGGACTGGGCTCGAAGGTCTTGGGTAAGCTCGATCTATTCGTTTTTTTTATTAGTTCTGGTTGTAGGTTGGATTTTTTGTTTCATCTTTTAATTTCTACTTTTTGAATACTTCAGACATATTGAAATACATAAACCTCAACCAGCGGTACCTAATGAGCGACCTTATATAGATAAATCCCAAAGAATACAACGTTTCCACCATTACCACAATAACAAAGAAATTCATATCTAAGTCGAAGTTGAAGTGTACAAAATGAACCAAATTTTACACCCACCCCCAAAACAAATGTCTAACAACAAATAGCTTCACAAGCTAATTCTCATACTACTAGAATTACTGCCAGTACTACTCCGAATATCGCATTCCTTAAAAATCAATTACCACCACAGTATCTGCAACGGCACACACTAATTCTAATTCTGTTTTATCTCAAAATAATTTAAAAGCTCAACAGCAACAACAACAATTTGTATCAGATTCTGGAGATTCAAGATGTCAAATATCTTACGATAACAACAAATTAAAGATAAACCTCGATCAATATCTCTTACTATTCCAATAATTATCACAACAGCAGTAACGACAGCAATAACAGCAATAACAATCATCCCTCAATCTCAATATAATACTCTATCAGTTGTAATATCGGACATCAAAGAAGAAATTCAATAATTTTTGTCATTTTTGCTTACAAGTCTAAAGTGTATTTTTAATTCACCGAATCTAATTGGTTAAAAAAATAAGCATTTTATCCAAAATGATATTCGAAGCAATTTTATTTCCATTTTTTTTTCAATTATCTCACTCATTAAAATTAAGAAAATAAAATGGATAATAAAGAATGCAATCAAAAGAATAATTTTTTCTGGTGCGACCAATGTAACTCAAAGCATTTCAAAATAATTTTTATAAATGGACAAGTGAAAATGAAAAAAAAAAAGATAAATTTTTCGGGATGCTCAATTAAATGCAAATTTGTATAGAATTGATAGATTTAAAGATATTAAAGAAATTGCTAAAGGTGGTTTTGGTACAATATATTATGCTAAGTGGATAAATGGGTATATTAAAGAACGGGGTATTGAAAATCAACAATTGAAAAGATGGAGTGAATGTATTAAAAAATTTTGATAATTTTGTAAATTTAAATAAAGAGTTCTTAATTATGGTAAAATATTTTTTGATTTCTATTATGCATTTTTTTTGAAATTTATAATATATGAAGATTTGGTGTTAAATTATATAGTTAAAAAAACTGCCCCTAATATTTTTTTTTTGATTTTTGTAATAACCAATTTTCATTTAAAATATACATTTCAATAGAAAATGAGATGATATATAACTTGATGCTCACAATTTTCAATCCTTTTTTTTTAAGATTCCAATCTAGAAAATAAATTATAAAATTAATGTAAGTGACATAATTATACATTTAATACCTTTAAATCTATGATAAGGCATCCATTCTATTACTTTCTCAGACAATTCTACATTTAGTTGAACATCCCGAATAAATTTATCTGCTCGTTCATTTCCACTTGTCCATTCATAAAAATTATTTTTAAATGCTTTAAGCCACATGGCTTGCAATATCGGTCGATAGCTTAAAACATTTTCATTTTCTTAATTTATTGAAATGATTGAAAAAAAGCGGAAATTTTTTCTCTCTCGGAGGAAATTAAAAATTAAAATTATCGAATATGTTTTTCGCGATTTAAAATGGAATCTATTTAAAGATATCAATTATAGAACCAAATATTTATAAATAAGTATTTGCTTAAAAATAGAAAAGTATCGCCACCATAATACTATTATTATTATTAACTTTTTAAATATTATTTGACATGGAATCGATTCAATATTGTTAAAAATATAAATTTAGGTCGGTGAATATATATTAGAAATATCTGATATCCAAATTACATAACTTTTTAATAAATTGAGAAAATAATTAATACTAAGAGAGATATTGTTTGGAATTATTTGTCAAATTTTAATTCATGTATAAATAAATATTCAAAAATTATAATAATGAGGAAATTAAATTGTCCTAAGATTTTATTAATAAGATAAATATTATAAATGTATATTTGAATTACAAATATAACTTGTGTGGATAATAACAAAATACAATAAGCTGTAAAGTAATAATGTCAAAACCATTTGATAATTCATTTACATATATGATGAATCGAATTTCTTGTTAAACCAAAATATATATTTAAAATAAAGTGTGTGTATGAATTGTAATCAACGTTAAGAAAATTATTTCCGTTATATTTTAATTGAACTTAATACTAATACTCATTTAGCAAATAAAAAAAAAACCCATCACATTAATCAATAATTATATCTCTCTTAAGTTTAAGTCTCTTCATTTAAATTTGCAAAATTATCAATTTTTTAGTACTACTTCAAGTTGTTCACTTCACACCCATTTTTGATATTCAATATCCCATCTCCATTAATACACTCGGAAATTTCTTTGATATCTTTAAATCTATTATAAGGCATCCATTCTATTACTTTCTCAAGCAATTCCGCATTTAATTGAACATCCCAAATAAAAATTTTATTTTTTCATTTCCACTTGTCCATTTATAAAAATTATCTATCTGCTAAAAAATGCTTTGAATTACATAGTTTTCAAGATTACTTTCATTGCATACTTACATCTAACCATTTTTTTTTCTTAATTTTGATGAGTGAGGTAATTGAAAAAAAAGTGGAAATGAAATTGGGTCAAATTTTTTTTGCTCTTGGAAGAAATCAAAAATTACCGTATCGAATATCTATAAATAATATACGTGAACCAAGTAATTACTATCAATATAACTTTCTTCTTTCACATCAAAAAATATTCTACCTATTTTACAAGTTTTTTTTTGTTTATGTTTATTTCCAGTATTTTTATATAAAATATTATTTATGTATCTCTAATAAATACAGTAAAATACAACAACCATAATAAATAAATATAATATAATTAATATCATTATGATGATGTCATCTTCAAATCCCAATATTCCTACAACAACAACAATTACAATCATCATCAACTCCGGATAATTTAAATAATGAAGCAATTTCAACTCCAATATTTCAATATCAGGAAATTTTCGCCTCCGAAAATTTTCTATTTTAATATCAGATTAATTTATCCGTATTATAAAGAATTTATTGAAGAATTTGCAAGTGGAGGTAGATAAAATTATTGGTACCAGATCCGATTGGCGTGTATTTAGTAATAATAAAAGTGATAAAGATCATTTGTCAGCTTTAGATACGTATAGCAAAGGATAATAAAAATAAATAATAATATTCTTTAAGTCTAAAAAAAATTATATATTTATTCATTCTCTTGTAAATTGTCTTTTTTTAAAAATATTTTGAATAATGTACACATATGTTGAATAGAATTTCTTACTATTAAAAAAAAAATTGATTCAAGTGTAAATTGTGTTCGTAAAAAAATTAAAAAAATTAAAAATTATTTCATTAATACTAATACTGATACTTAGATTTAGTAAATAAAAAAAAAATTTTAAACAATATGTAATTATATTATTTTGTTTGTGTAATAATTTTATTTAAAAAATTAATTTATCAAAACCTGTATAGAATTATCACTTCTCATCATACAATTTGTATTGTAAATTAAATTTTTACATTCGAAAATTTTTATTCTGTTGATGAAAGTTATTAATGAAATCTTATCTATTTTCTCGAACTTTTGAAATTATGACGTGTGCGTAAATCACATGAATAATTAATATTAGACACACACATGATCATATATGGGCGACACGATTGGCTCGATGATCATGAATCCCATAAATTTTCCAAATTTCTATAATCTATTATATTTAAGGAATACACCTGTATATACTGTTGGAGTATCTCCCTCCATTATTAGAGAGAATCAGAGTTATCTCACTCTGCCCAAATAATAGAGAGTCAGAGCTATCTCGCTCTGCCCAAAAAATAGAGAGTCCGAGTTGTCTCTCTCGGGTAAAAAAGGAGCCTGAGGTGCCTCTCTCAGTATAAAAAATGCAGAGCCCCTGCTTGCACGCTTCCTTTTATACTTTTTTTGAAATTATAATCATTTATTAGTAGATTTGAAAATAACGAAAAAGGAAAAAATGTAATTCACGTGAAAGCAATGGATCGCTTTTGTTTCACCCGAATTTATGGAGATCCAGTAACCAATAATTATATGATATATGCCTATCGGAAATCTTACAATAATAACTGGAATTAATTATAAATTATTTAAGGTTTTGGTCAATTATACAGATTAGATATATTACATGAGGATATTCATCCTAGAAATATTTTATTTTATAATTATAAATGTGTAGGTTTTAATATTTCAGATTTTGGATTAAGTAAAATAATTGGAAAAGTTTAGAAATTATAATAAGAGAAATATCATTGCTCCGGAAGTTTATGTGGAGAAGAATATACAAAGGCAGCTGATGTATATATTTTCGAATTGTAGTTTATGAATTTATTACTATGATAGTAGAGGCAAATATGCAATGGATTACGGCCAAAAATTCTATTTCATACTCCAAAACTAATTACTGGAATAATTATGAGGTGTTAAGATGCTCGAGTTTTACCCATAGATCTACTTTTAAAGAATCGAGTGAAGAGTTGCGTAAACGCTATGATGATTATTGGGAAAATGATTGTAAAAATAATAATGAATTTACAATTAAAAATTACAAATTTTTATAAAAATAAGTCAAGGGAGGTAGATGAGGGTTGATTCAACAAATACATCTCCAATTAATTATCAGACTCATCCAGAAGCAATTTATACTAGTAGACTTCTTCATTATTTGAATCTTCCAGAACCTAAGAATGAAGAAAATTTTGAAAAAGAACTTGAAGAAATAAATAAATCTATTTCTGCTTTAAGTATTGGTAAGTAGTCAAATATATTCTCTCAAAATATATTATACTTATATAATTAATTATATGAAATTTATTTTTATCTTTATTTAGTTACTTCTGAACCAATTAATATGCATGTACCATATATTATATTTTATAAATTTTTTATCATTGTATATTATTACGTTTTCATAATATGAATTTAATTAGTTTGGTATGAATAAGTTTATAATTGAGATTTAATTATAATAATATTAAATATTATTTCTAAATAAATAATATAATTATTGCATAATGTTATGTGCCAAATCAACAAATGTATCAGTATTAGTAGTATTAGATTCAATACAAGTATTATTTATTAAAATATAACGGGAATAATTTTTAAATTTTTTTTTACAAACACAATTCACACTTGAATTAAATTATAGGTTAATCGTGTCGCGTTCATAAAGAGTTGTATTTTAAACATAAATTGGACGTAAAAAAATTCTTTGTGAGCGTGTCTTTTGTTAGAACAGGTTAGTGAATAATTTATTTTTTGTAAGCGATCATTTAATACAAACAACAATTGAGGATTCATTTAATTTGATGCACACTTGCGGGAAGGTGCAATTAAATTACTGAAACTTTCAATGCAATGTCAAATAAATCAATAATTTTCTTATTAGGAGATTAAAATTATAGATTGCTAGTTTTTTTTTTAGAAATAATGCATCATGATGATAATAAAAATTTTTTCACTACGAAAATCAAATTTTTTACTTGTA